TTAAAGTTTATGATATTTCGCTTGCAAAATCAGAAACAAGAATCCGGATGTGGTAATTATGATCAAATTGGTTTAAAGCGCTCAAATCGGCTCTTTGCAATAATTTAAGATGAAGGCTGCAATTTCAATTAAAGGTGATTTTACTAATGCAACTGGTGTACTTGCAGTACGGAATAAAAACTAATCGTCATATTTGTTGATGATAAATTATTGTTCGAATAACAGGTTTCTCTGATGCTTATTCTTATCATTATTAAGTGCGGGCGTTGTCATGGTTGCATAAGACTTTTAAATTAGGCTGAGCTTTGTATACCGTATATTGTATGGAAGTAGTAGATCACATGTTATTTAGCGGGGCTAGAAATACTAATGGACATAAGCCGATTTAATGCAGCTATTAGTGATATACGTTAATTAAAGTCGTGCTGACGTGCCAATCCCAGTGTGACCGTAGCCTCTGTAAGTTTCTTAAAGTGGAGTGGACCTTAATAAGTTGAACTTCAGTTATGATTAATTGTGTAATGTACTTTCTTGTAGTGTTTTTCCCCCACTCATGATGCAGTGGGGGAAATGTGCATTTAAGTTAGAATTTTATGGATTTTTACGATGTGATAAGTTTACGTGTAGAAATACGAATAATCTTGAGGGATACGGTATCTCAAAATTAACGATGTTACCTTTAAACAAGAATCTTAATTTTATTCCCCCATACCTGAACGCTTCAAAAGGAGACCCATTTAGGGTAGGAGTCAATATAACAATCAATGAGAACGAAACGTTGGGTCCGATCCAAAACATGTCAAATTATATCGCATTAATGATAAGTCAATAAGCATCCCCCTTTTCCCCGTTGTTCATAGAAAATGAAATAAGTAAAGACCACCCTGTAACACGAGAGCATTTTATTTACTTTTACGGGAGGTCTTAACCAGAAGTGGCATCGAGCAACGTAATTTCTCCGGCCACTCCTTTAGGATAGTGGTGGCAACGTCCGCTGCTACCGTAGGATTTGAGGACCATGTCAAAAAAAAAACTCGGCCATTGGTCCTCAAATCGTTATGTAAGGTGCATAAGGGCGAATGAGGATGTTATCAAACAAGCGTAAGCAAAAATGTGTCAGAGATAGAGAGTACCGGTATATATATCGGTATTGTCAATCTGGCCAGGCCCAACTCCGAGATTATTAATCGGTCCACTGGGAACTGATGAGCCAAAAAAGAAAAAAAAACAAAAAAAAAAAAACACCAAAACATAAGAAAAAATAAGAATACAGCAGGGCTCAACCCCTGGATTTAACTGGCTTGTTAGGCCCAATGGACTTATAGGCCTAATTGTATCTCCTCCTCCACAATGATCGTAGTCCCGGGCGGATCCGAATCCAGTCGGCTCATCCCCTGGATCTCGTATGGCTTAACGAGTCCAATGTGTCAGTATGTAAATAATCCTGGTTCACAATGATCAGTAGTCCCGCCGCGCTCAACCCCGGGATCACAATGGATTGAAAGGTGTTCCGATGAATCCATCGATCTCGATGAATTGGTGGGTTTCAAGTTCAGTAAAAACGAAGTTTAGTCCTACAGCATAACTATGCGTCATCTACTCCACATAAACGTTTAATATATATAGGCCTATTCATTAATTAAGGTTCCACGAACATTTAATACTAAGTAAATAGCCAATGAGATCTACCTGGAATCTACTCTGTTCCATCCATCTCCATCGGGTACCATAAATACAAAGAACCTGCATTACTTGCGTAGCCCCAAGATGTCAAAGAATTAATTAGTATATTTACAATATTTTGTACTGTATTAACCATGGAGGAATTAGTTTCCTCCATGGTATAACTAAGTAGTGGACTTAAGTGTATAAATAATACAGTGAATAAACTTGAACCATACAGTATACCTTGTGTTGTGTATAAATTTATGATTTAGTCTGTAAATCGATGAAGCATTCTGGGACGGAAACTCGGGTAATTCTTGAGGCGAGTTGTCTAGGGGATGGAGGAGGTCGATATTATAACTCAAAATTGGCAATCTGCGGATAATAATTAAGTATAAGTTGAAGTACGTTTTATCTAATGTAAGTTCAATGATCAAATATTAATTGGTTCACCGAAGGTTTTCTTAAGTGACTCGCCCGAGGAGCCAATCTGCTTTATGCCTAATATTCACTCAAATATGTTTCTCTCATATTTCATTATGATGTTTACTGTTGGTACGGCACATCAAGTAATCTATAGGCAAATCGGTTGGTTACTTAAAGATTACTACGTGTAGAAATGAAAATGACAAGTATACACTTAGTATATTGTTATATTATATAGAGATTGTATCATTGAGAAACATTCACTCTAAAATCAGATAAAAAAAATAATAAGAAGAAAAAAAAAACATAATTTGTAACTAATATGGATATTTCGCTAATACCTTGTGAACTAACTTTGTAAATCATTAAAAAAAACCAAGCCTACTTTGAATTGCAAAACTGTTTGTTTTTGCGGACCGTTATTTCAAGATCCGGTAGTAGTGTACCGGTACTTGGTAATAACAGGTCATGTGTGTGAATTTTAAGGGTATTTTACGTCATTTAAAAGGGGGAGTAGGCTGTTAAAAAATAAATTGATTATTAAGCGTCCTCGATCAAACATACACACAATAAATACATTCGACATACATCTGACACATGATCAATACATAAAATACTTCAATGGCGATTACAATATAAATCGTACCTGAAGAGTTGTAAAACGTTAATTTAACAAATGAAGCATCAAATCAATATACCTAAAAACTAATTATTTACTAACAACCTGAGTGCACCCGTCAAAGACCCGACTACAAGGAAAAGTCACCACCCAGATAAAGAGAAACAAAGGGTGGTCGGGGGGGGGGGTGAGAGAGTCAGGAGCTATGCTCCACTGACCCACCACCTAAAAAACGGTGAATGGTACGGCCAGTGCCTGCTCAAACGGTATCAGAATCGAAATGTTATAAAGTGAATGATGATGATGTTTTCAGAAAGACCAAGACGATGCAGCAGCACCAATTAATAAATTTGATCGCTTCTTTTAACTTAGCGGACACGAACTGGGTTGTAATGGGTCTGCTGTTCATAATAATGGTCCGGAATTATGGCGGAAATGTTTGGTGTAATCATGTAAGGCCTGAACCGGACGGAAAGGGTTGTCATCCTTAGCGTTGAAAGAAATATGGACAGGGGGCTTGCCTACTCCGGTTTTGTGATGGCGTATGATCAAGGGGGCCATGGTACAGGAAAGAGTGAGATCTTGACGTTGTATCACGGTTTTTTACGATATTTTAATGGACATAATTAGGAACTCAATATATGCTAATAATGGTCAGACATTTAAAAGAATGGTGCTACGATATATTTCTTCCAGAGCTGTGCACGGTAAATCGTCCAAAATATTTTTCTTTACTCAAATTAGTTTAGTATATGATTAAGGTGTCGTGCAACAGTTGTGTTGCAAGGCCGTTGCAAAGGGAACTGGGGGCTCGATCTCCATATTTGTTCTAACTATTTATAGGCCTAATAAAATTATGAGGACACAATATATAAACATAGGAAGCAACACTGCTTTTATAGTCCCGTGGTGCCATTTCCGGGAATATAGAGGTTCCATATTTTCAAATTTACTCACCTCAGCGGCCCCAAACATGATGAGGCTGAAATGAGGATGGACTCTAGTCCCTCACTAATTTTAAATCCATCCACTCCTGTAGAGGTTAGGGGTAGCGGCTATGCTGGTTGCCCATCAAATATGGTAATAAGCACCCCAACCCCAATCCATTTTAATAAAGTTGTCTACACCCCGACATCCAAACTGGGTACCGTATGGTTCGGGCGGGTAAAGATCGACCTCCAAAGGACTCAGAAATTGTGAGAGTAAAACAGGAGGGGTAGAAATAGTGCGAATGACAGGAAAGGTCTGCCACCGTAATTTAAGACGCGCAGCGTCAGTCATGAGCAGGCTTGCCTTACCGCCTCAGGCCGCATTGAACCTCTCATAATCACACGAGCATCGGCTTTTTGGGGGAAAAAACACATTTGGTAGTGAAATCTCGGAGCGTTTAGAGGTAGAGGTAGAGAAAATTACACCTCCAAGAAAGGAGGCGAGAGCATTAGGATGTTAAAGTAATGCATGTTAAAAAACAAATACATTTTAAAAATAAATAAATAAATAAAGGAAAATTTGAGATCCTTCAAATGACTATATTCAGTAAAAAACAAAATACGTCGGCAGTATTATCCGGATCCGTGCAAGTACTATCATTTTCTAGGCCATCGACGCGTGGTTGAAAGGGTCCTGGCACTTAGGCCTATTTAATTATTCTCCTCTTTCTTTCTGATTCAGGAAAAACATAAGTGTCGGCGCCACAAGTTGGTGGGGGAAGAGGAACTTTGAACTTCATCAGGGAATCCCTAAAAAAAGTGGTGTAGATTTCGCCCCCTTTGGCCTGACAAATAGGCCTAATAAACTGCTTCCTATGGGACTGTCATGTCTTCAATTTTGTATAACGGTTATGATGATTTGAACTGTAACTGTAAGCCTGCAATTTAGTCGTGTGCTCGAGATCAAAAAACAGCTGAGGGCCTACTTTGTCCTTCTAACATTGAATTCGAACAAACATGATATTTATTGTATTTGTCTTTAAACATGTAATTTTTAAAAATTGATGTTGAACAATAGTTTTGTTGATATACTGCTATTAAATTCTAAGCATAGGCTTCAATATACTGAATACAACATATCCAGTAGAGTTTTCAAATAAATATCTTCACTGTATGGTTGTAAAATCGTACGGGTGGTGACCTTTGCATGTTGTCTTGCTGACCTAACTTCCATTCAACAAATTTGTTAATATTATTTATATCATTATTATTAAGATTAAACGATTTGCTGCCCCTGTTGCTTAGGCAAACCTACTCCAATTGAGTTGCTAGTGAAGAGAAGTATACCGGTATTTGTTTTGATGTTGCCCTAAGAATAGCTCGTGCTGCCTTTTGTGTTCTCTGCAATCTGTCAGAGAGGTTGTTCCTACAATTAACCCAAATATTATCCCAATAATCAAAGAGAGGGAGAATAAAACTTTTGTATAATAAATTAAAAATATGTAAAATAAGGTAATATTAATGTTAAATTCAATGCTGAATGCTGAAAATACACTCTAACGAGTACTAAAAAGCTACACACAAATTAAATGGATCGATATTGTGTACCTAGGTGTAGAAAAACACTTTATGTTGCTGTACCATACTATTTTAATAGTTCCGATATTCATAACCTTTTCAATAAAAGGTTATGAATATTCATAAACCTTCAATAAAAGTTTATGATTATTCATAACTTTTTATTCAATAAAAGCACGCTCTCAAAATGTTTGCATCGTGATAAAACAAATCATGCATAATGATACTAGAAATAATCAGCTTGATGAAAAAAAATATATTTCTATCATTTCACGATCTCAAAATTTAATATCATTAGAGAGTTTTATGTGTTTATAAATTTGTTGTGTCTATTTTGCCTTTTAGTTTAGTGTGCTCTCTTTCGGGGGTTTTTTAAACAAATAAATTGATTGACTGATATCTATATACGGAGAATCATCAAGCCCGTAGCCAGGGAGGTTCGTTGGGTTCGAACGAACCCCCTTTTCATGAAGTGCCCTTTCAACAAAGGCTGGCTAGCCTACACCTTGGGCCTAGCCTAGAGCCTATCATCATTTAAAAAGAAGTCCTACTTTAATACCCAATTGTTAGGCCTACCTAGTAATATAAAAAAAATAAATGAAAATAGGGCATTTTCAACTGTTACAACATTATTATTTAATCAGTACAACCGTCCAAAATAGGAACAGGGCAGGGCAGCAGCAGCAGAGCGTATCGCCGATCTTCCCGATACGATCGTCGGCCACCAAGTTATATTACTATGGATGCAATATTTCATTGTGCAGTATGACCATTTAGGCACCAAAATCTTGACTTGGAAATACCGGGATGTTGTCCGGCGGGGGATAGTTTCACCTTTATAT